AAAGAAAGAAAGAAAGAAAGAAAGAAAGAAAGAAAGAAAGAAAGAAAGAAAGAAAGAAAGAAAGAAAGAAAGAAAGAAAGAAAGAAAGAAAGAGGGGAAGCAGAGGAAAGGAAACTAAAGGAAGAAAATTTTGTTTTGGCTTGGATTCAAAAGGTGCAGGTGGTGGATTTAAAATGGCTGATGTCACATTTCAGAAAAGGGACGCCAGGGAAAAAAAATCAGTTTAAATCTTTTTGCCCAGATTAGTTGCTCCAAACTGAAAAACTAAGGCCAACTCTGGGTCACTGAATTCCTTCCTACAGTTTCCTTCCTTGTTCCTGGCCAGGTAGTACATTTCCTAAATATCTTGAATGCAATTGAGATATTCCTTTGTTCAGAATTTCTCTTGCTTATTTTAATACCATCATTACCATTCCTGAAACATGTGTAGATTTTAGCAAATGATAAAAAGGTGGAGGACAAACAGCTAAAAACAAGAATAACTGTGGAGGGATGTGCATATGAGCAGGCAACTAATTCAAATGTTGTCTGACAGCTTAAAGTCCCAGATGTTCACTAGCCAGTTAATTCCTAACGATCTCACATCTCATTATGCCCTGCATAGCATTTTGCCTTGAAGAGATGGATCAATATCCTATTGAGAGGCACTCATGGGCTTAATGGAATGTCCTTTATCTCTCTCAGGAAACAAATGGACGAAAATGCAGCTTCCCATATTGCTTCATTGGCCAAACAGTGTGGCACAAATATGTTAAAAGATATTTAAATTTAGTAGCAGGAACAGCGGGGTTGTGCAGCAACAGTAAGCCAGAACACGCAATTGTGATTGGTTGGTTGAAGGGTGATGGCTCCTGCGTGAGGCAATCTGCGCTATGATTGGTTGCTGTGGGTGTGGAGTGGGCGTTTCTCTCCCCCCCCCCCCGCTTTTTTCTTCTGTGCGCCGTGTGATTTGCCTCATGATGCTCCTTTTCGCCTGACTCTCTTCTTTGCTGTATTTATAGATGTAAAATATACAAGTAGTCCTCGACTAACAATAGGTTCATTTAGTGTCTATGGAGATTCTCAGTCATCCAGGTCCTGGTTGTCCCAAAGGTGTTTTTTTCAAGAGGCAACTGGACTTTCTGGTTTTTCTCTTCAAAAAAAGTCCTGTTGCCTCTTGGAAAAAAAACCCCACCTTTGGGACAGTTCATTTAGTGATCATTTAAAGTTGCAACTGAAAAAAGTGACTTGTGACCATTTTTCACACTTAACAACCTTAGTAGCATCCCCAGGATCATGTGACCAACATTCAGATGCTTGGCAACTGGTTCATATTTATGACAGTTGTAGAGTTTCGGGTGTGTGTGTGTGTGTCACGTGATTATCTTTTGCGACCTTCTGACCAGCAAAGTCAATGGGGAACCAGATTCACTTAAGGATGGCTATTACTAACTTATCAACTTGTAGCGATTCACTTAACCACAGTAGCAAGGAAGGTTGTAAAATGGGGCAAAGCTCGCTTAACAAATGTCTCGCCCAACAACCAAAATTTTTGGTCTCAGTTGTGGTCACAAGTTGAGGAAACCTGTATTTATTTATATAAAGCTATACAAGTTTGTGTCAGCTTCTCTGACTCCATTTGAACCACCTGCTGGGCAATTCCCTGACAATATATTTGCATGGTAGCTATGATGACCCGGGGTGTGACACAAAAATAACAAAGTCACAAAAGTAGAATAAACTCCCTTTAATGCCTCCAACTTGGCCCCAATGTCCAATTATCCTTGGCTGGAGATCAAACTCTTCAAAAAACAGTCTACGAAGAGCAGAAATGCAATCCGAACCCAAAGTAAAGATAATTAGAAATTTTTTTAAAAAAATCAACACAAACCACACTGAAGTAATTAACACAGCAGGCCAGGATGATAAATTGCAGACTTTCAAAGGATAACGCAGCACCCAAAGTTGGGAGGACGCCAAAACCCAGATAAGCCTCGACCAAGAAAATGCACGCTTTGCTTCCAGCAAAGAGCTGTGTGCAAACGCCTCATTTATATCCTGTTCTCCCAGCTGCAACTAATGAAAGGGATCAGGGCCTTTTTCTCTCTCGTAAGCCACGTTGCTCCCTTCTCCGTTCCTCCCTGCGTGCCCTAGGATGAAGAGGGGATGGCCCTGGGTCTTCCTCTGAATGCCCAGCCGGACTGTGCCCTTCTCCCGTTTCTTCCACAACCACCGGAGCCACACTCCCACTCCCTGTCAGCTGCTCAATCTCCCCCTCAGAATCAGACTCCAACAAGGGCATGACAGTAGCTTACCTTTCCCCTGGATATAACAAAAAAGGTACTTCCTTCCTCTCCTTCCCGGATAACATAATCACCTTTGTCATAGTATTCCTGTGGGACAAAGAAAAGGCAGGAAATGATCAGGTAACAGCCTGCAGATAGTCCTCGATTTACAACAGTTCCTTTAGTAACCGTTTGAAGTTACAACAGTGCTGAAAAAAGTGACTGATGATCATTTTTCACACTTATGACCGTTGCAGCATCCCCAGGGTGGTTCGGACACTTGGCAACTGACTCATATTTATGACGGTTGTTGGGTCCCAGGGTCATGTGATCCCTTTTTGCAACCTTCTGACAAGCAAAGTCAATGGGGAAGCCAGATTCACTTAACAACCATGTTACTTAACAATCACCCACTTACTGTAACAGTCACGTTACTAACTTAACAATTGCAGTGATTCCCTTAACAACTGTGGCAATAAAGGTCATAAAATGAGGCAAAACTTACTTAACATCTGTGTCACTTAGCAACAGAAATTTTGGGCACAATTGTGGTTGTAAGTCGACTACCTCTATTTAGATCTTCACCAAAAAAACCACTGACATTTTCTAGAGAAAATTATTTAAATTCCTACCAAACATACAGTACAGTCAGGACTTAGATATGAATATTGTATTAATCAATTTGCTTAAAATGGATTGAAGTATTGTCCTTCAAGCAAGGGTGATATTAATATTACATAACACACATTGTATTTTCAGGCTTTCTATATGGGGAGAACAGAGTCCTTCTATGCCAGAAAAATAATGCAAATTCTAAAATATTCTAAAAAGCTACATTCAAAAAAGCTACAGCAGCTTCTGGGAAGAAGGAACAAAAGCCAAAAAAAATTTTTTGGCTCCACTGCCTGCATTTTCCCTATGGCATGTCTTCTTCTGCATAACCTATAAACACAACTGATCAAGTAAACATGAACATCTTTTTAAATGACTGAAAGGGGTTTAAATCTAATTGATAATCCAAATGAATCTATTAAAGAATGTGGCATGACTATTTGCACAAAGTAATTCCACAGTCTTTTGCTTCCTTTGACCAACTGCTTAGATTTCGTCAGTGTAAACCCATTGAAAGCAATGGGATGTTAACATGGGCCAATAAATCAAAAGGCATTGATTATTCAGGCTTCAAACATTCTATATGTATAAGATTGCCATATAGACAATGCCAAGTTTGGAAAGACTGTAGTTATAATGCTAATAATACTGGTATACTAATAATACTGTTGGAAGAATTATCCTTCTGGGTTCAGTTCCAAGTGGGGAAGAAAGACATGGTGGAAACATGGTGACTGCTTGGAAAGGTGGTTTAATGTTGGACAGGACCACATGGCTTGGTGCTCCAAAGAAGGAAGGGCTGAGATGCTGAGAGTGCCTGGGTTTTATACCCTCTGTTGGGATTTGAATTTGAGCTTGTATTCTGATTGGTTGTCAGACCTCCCATGGGGCCATGCAGGGGCAACTCTGTAGGCTGTCCTGAGTCTCAGGCTTGGTTGAGCCTTGCTGGATGATGATGTAATGAAAGGGCTTTGGGCAATTCCTATTACAGCTCTACCTGGAGTAGATCTTTATTATGTAAAATATTCTGGCCCAGGCTTTAATGGCCCACCCATTAACAAAGTTGGGGTGAGCTTCTGCTTCTGAGGTGAGTTTCTGCTTTTGAGTTTCTACTCTTTTTAGGGGAAATATTCTGCCTTTTTAATATTTCCTAGTATATTTCATTTTTCTAGGAGAGGGGTGGATGATAACTTCCTACAATACAATTAAAAATGTCAGAGGTTACAAACATGCTCAAGTTCTAAAGCAGTACAGCTGTCCATCAAAGCTGAAGAATTATAAATGTATGACATGACGTCTTCAGGAGCAAGACTTAGGCATTGGAAGTAAAGAGACACAAATTAGTTCATTGGAGCAAATATGCTAGACTTTCAAAAAGGAATTTAACAGAATAACAAAGTGACAGTGTAACAGACTCGGAAGGGATCTTGGAGGTCTTCTAGTCCAACCCCCTGCTTAGGCAGGAAACTCAGACAAATGGTTATCCAATATTCTTAAAAACCTCCAGCATTGGAGCATTTACAACTTCTGGAGGCAAGTTGTTCCACTGATTAATTGTTCTAACTGTCAGGAAATTTCTCCGTAGTTCTAGGTTGCTTCTCTCCTTGATTAGTTTCCATCCTTTTTCTTCTTGTCCTGCCTTCAGGTGCTTTGGAGAATAGCTTGACCCTCTCTTCTTTGTGGCAGCCCCTGAGATATTGGAACACTGCTATCACGTCATAACTGTATAATTTGATCCCTTTAGAAAAACAGAGGGTCTAATAAAGTTTAAATTAAAGAATATATTGCTAAAAAAACAATTTAATTCATTTTGTTTTTCAGTTTACGAAAGAAGACAGAGGTCTCCAGTGGTATCCTGGAACAAGTTGCTCAAACAAAATTTCTTAGATGGTTGCTAAAATACATAAAGCTTTCTCTTCTTGGGCTTCCTTTATACAGTAGCTGGAGAAATGCCAGCTGTTTAACTTCTCTTATCATTCAACTTGCGATCTAATTAATCTATCATAGAGGAAAAAAATCCTCATGAAGAGCAATATTAGATTATTTCTGAAGAACAGACAAAAGCATTCTTTTGTTAAAGAAGAATAAAAAGCTAATGCTGTGGGCTGCAGGAATATTAGTGCATTCTTATAGAAATAATGTCCTTGGGTAAAGACAGGACTGAGAAAAAGAAAAGGGATGGAGGGGGAAAAAGCTAGAAATTCCTAATGAATCCTTAACAGAGGCTGCAGTTTCATAACAACATGTATTCCATTGTCTCTAAATGCAATGTTTATGCTGGCAAACTACCCATTGCCATTCCTCCTATACACAGACAATAAACTTGTTGGATTATTTGGAGACACGGGACATCTCAGGTGGATGTGCAACCCAAATAACTGGGTCAAAAAATTCAATATGGAGATCCCGGCAATTCAATAGAATACCAGCCACTTTTTGGATCTGCGTTGATAATGCACATCCCAAAGGTGTATTTTTCAGGAGGCAACTGGGCTTTCTTGTTTTTTTCTTTTGAAGACGTTTCGCTTCTCATCCAAGAAGCTTCTTCAGCTCTGACTGGATGATGGTGGGGAATGGAAGGATTTATATTCCTTGCAGACAGCTGGTCATTTGCATCCTTTTAGAGGGTCATTGAAGCACTTGGAGATTTGTCTGCATCCTCAGGGTCACCTGAGTAGTGCAAATGATTCCTGTAGTCCAGTTACCTCCTGAAAAGCACCTTTGGAACAACAATGACCTGGATGACTGAGAATCTCTACAAACGTTGATAATGCATGTATATATAAAGGGGCAGAGCTACACCTGCATTTCCATGACCGTCATCTTGGGGGGTTTTGACATCTCCCATGAATGCTATTGACCCAAACTACCTAAGGCAAGAATCCAAACAACACTCTTTTTTTTCACTTTAAAAAGATGCAATCAACCAGAGAGACCTGACATATTCCAATCCATTTTAATGGTTTTGCTCTGTTTCATTGATTTTAGTTGCCTTACAATATTTCCAAGGGAGAAAAATTGGACTATCAATTTGGACGTGTGCTTGTCTCTGTATGGTATTTATTTATGACTTTATATGGTGCCTTTAAAGCCACCCAGCCTTGGATTAATGCACCTTAAAATCACACCTGGAACCCCTACTCCCTGCAAATGGGTCCCTAGCCTCATTTTTGCAGCCTCCCTCAGGCCCTGTTTTGCACCCTTACTGTCATCCTTCTTTATCACAATGCTGGGCAACATTTTGTCTTAATTTTAAGAGAAAGAACAAGTCAGTTTTTGCTAATGTATCCGAATCATATCCGAAAACTTAGCAAATGGCTGTGGGTCAGAGTGGACAGTGCAGGTAGTCCTCGACTTACGACCACATTTGAGCCCAAAGTTTCTGTTGCTAAGCAAAACAGTTGTTAAGTGAGCTTTGCCCTATTTTACAAACTTGCTTGACACAATCGTTAAGTGAATCACTGCAGTTGTTAAGTTAGTAACACGGTTGTAAAGTGAATCTGGCTTTCCCCATTGACTTTGCTTCTTAGAAGGTCGTATTTATGACCGCAACCGTCATTAATACATGCCAGTTACCAAGCGTCCAAACTTTGATCATGTGACTGGGGGGAATGTTGCAATGGCCGTAAGTGTGAAAAATGGTCATAAGTCACTTTTTTCAATGCCACTGTAGCTTCAAACAGTAACTAAAGGAACGGTTTTAAGTGTTGTGGTTCACCGGCAGCCAGTGCAGACGGCAGCAGAGTCGAACAGTGAGGAAGAAAGGGGAACCAGTCAGGGATTCTGGAGACGACTTGGACAAGGGTCCTGCGTCCAATGCAGGGATGGGGCCAGGACCATCTGAGAGTGGGCTGCTGCCTTCGGAGCCTGTTCCCAGTGTGCGTGTGTGCACAGAGCAGCTAGAAGGCGAGAGCAGCTGAAACAGAAGGGGTGACTCAGGAGTAAGGCTGGGAGGTGATTGCCCCTCTCATAAGGGATAAAAGTCAGGCCAAGATGACGAAACCTTTGCAGGAAGCAAAGCAGTTCAATAGATTCTGAGCCCTCCTTGAAGCTCTGCATATTCTGGTCATTTTTTTCTGGGACTTCGGTTGATTTATGTTATGATTAATTGGACTTCTGTTTTTCGGCAGCATTCTACAGCACTGAAAGGCGTGTTCTTATCTGAGGGAACTGTTTATAATTAGTTCTGGCTGAGAATGCAAGTAATTCCCAGCGTTGAATTAAAATAGATTTTAAAATAAGTGTGTGTTTCATTAAGTTTGACGAAGCCTGGATCAGAACAGTAAGTCAAGGACTACCTGTATTGAGTTTAAGACAGCCAATGGTGTAAGTCATCTTTCTGGTACATAAAATAGGATACTTGAAACCAATGACTCAGGCAGTGGCTTAAGCAGTCAGGGCAGCTCTGCAAACAATTTGTGCTAGACGATGATTTCAGCGAAGATATTCTATTGCTGCAGTTGCATAATATCGCAAACAGGCAGTGGGTCTCTTTAGGTTTCCCTGCTGAATGGAAGGAGTGTGTTGCCAAAGACTTGCTCTGGAAAAATTCAGGTCATGCAGGCAACACACCAGATTTGGGAAGGAAGAAAGGAAGGGAAGGAGGGAGGGAGGGAGGAAAGAATTTACAGACAAAAGCTGTAATATCTCAGACTATGCTTTTCATCCCCATCAGATGACTCTGCAGCATTCCTGTCTACAATTAAATTCCTTTTATTTATTTTTTTATCCCTTGTTCTACTGGAGCATGTAAATTCATGATTACGTAAAAATGTATGCACGATAAATCAATTTTCCCAGTGTAATTTCAATTAGCCCTTCAAATATAAAACTGTTCATTCATGCGGATTAAATCATAAACAAAAGAAAAGAGGTGGGGGAGGAAACCAGATATATTAATAATGGATCTTGGGTTTTTTTCCCCCAATGACAAATCATTATATTTCAAAAGTGTAACAAAAGACGGCAGACAAAATATCCTGCTATTTCTTTTGAAAGCCAGCCATGGTTGCTTCTATGGGTCATTAACACAGATATTTGGTGATTTATGAGATAAGTATCACAGCATGTCACATTTTTACAGGTAGGTGTTAAAATTCTAACAGCTATATTAACTGCTCTTAAATATAGACCTCCAGATTCAAATGTTAGCCAGTGTCCCTTCCTTTCTCCTAAGAAAGGATTAAATTTACAGATTTTCTAGCATGTTCATCCATCCATTTACTTCCTTTCCTTTCCTTTCCTCCTCTCCCCTCCCCTCTCCTCAATTTGACCATTTTGACATATTTCGGTAGTTTTCCACAAGCAGAATTTCATCTCAAGCTTTTACAATGGGACATTATTTCCCATAAATTTCAGCCTGTTAGGCAGCATGATCTGGCTATTTTATATAAAGTACTGTGATAAAACACGTTATCCATCAAAAACTATATGTTGCTAAAGCAAATGGGAAGCCATGCAGCTTAGAAAGTATTCCTGGGAATTTCAATATGAGCTTCAGAAAAGCAAGGATGGTAACTTCCTGCACAGTGGGACTTTCAGATTCTGCACATTGAAAATGCTACTGAATAATCTTATTTAGCCCAGATCAAATAACACAGAATTTGGAGCTTAATCAGAGCACTCTGTAATACTGTTTGACTTTACCCTAGAATGATTTTGCTAAAGAGATAAATAAGATTAAATAATCTCATTAGGGGTCCAAGACTCACCACTTCCAAGCAGTCTATAATCTTGGTTAGCTTATCTTCGGGTAAATTCTTCAGTAAAGAAACACTTGGAAAAAAAAAACCAAAAGAAATCCACTGAATTCAATTTGTATACAGCACTTTAGCTTTCAGTTTCAACTTTAACTTTGAACCATTTTGACTTCAGCTCTTTCTTGGAGAGCTATTAGATACCCCTAAAAAGGTTATGCATATTATGGGTATTACCTATAAAAAACAGTTAAGCAGTGGTACAGAATAATCACTATAATCTCTACAGCCTTTGCAGAAGTCTTTTGCCCAAAATACATTCTTTCAGTTTGGTTTGAGTATTACTACTAGGATAATTACATAGGATTTTATATCTGAGGTCCGTGTTCAAAGAACTGTGTTTTGAGAAGTGGCTTCTAAATGGCTGTCATTAAAAAGGTCAAGTTATCTGTGAGACTTTTTGTCAACAACCTTTGCCAGACCAATTCTCGAATACAGCTCCTCCACCTGGAATCCGCACTGTATATCGGACATTAACACAATTGAGCGGGTTCAGAGGTATTTCTCGAGAAAAGTACTCCACTCCTCCACTCACAATAGAATTCGCTATGCCTCCAGACTTGAAATTTTGGGTTTGGACAATCTGGAACTGCGCTGCCTGCAGTCCAATCTAAGCATAGTACATAGAATTGTCTGCTATAACATCTTGCCTGTCAACGACTTCTTCAGCTTCAACCACAATAATACATAGGCAAACAAGCGATACAAACTCAAGGTAAACCGCTTCCAATTCGATTGCAGAAAATACGACTTCAGCCACAGAGTGGTCAACGCCTGGAACGCCCTACCTGACTCCATTATTACAGCCTCAACTCCTCACAGCTTCAACCTCAAAATGTCTACCGTGGACCTCACCCCATTCTTAAAAGGTCCTTAAAGGGGGCGTGTATAAACACACCAGCAGGCCTATCATCCCTGTCTTACTCTCCTCATTTATCTATATTTACTTCCTTTGTTCTTGTTTATATTCATATTTATACTTGTTATCCTGTACATGTTTGACAAACAAATAAAAAATATATATCAGTACTTGCTCAACCTATACAACTGCCTTCAAAACAGGATGAAAACCACCATTTTCTATTCACTGATGAAATCAATATTGATAGAATGGATGCTTCCTACCAATTCTTTTTCAATCAAAATTCACAGGATTGAATAAACCTCCAGAACAAAATTGATGGACATGGAAAATGAAAATAAAAGAGATGATAACTCTTTGTGTAAACACTCATATTTTCATTTGACACTGGATATAAACAATATTTTTGTTCTGTTTGTAGCAGCTATTTTCACATTGAAATTAATGAATGACCAAGGTAGAACTGCATAGCCGAGGATATTTGGAACTCCGAGTTGAACTGTGGAATTCTTGGTGCTCCCTAAACTTGGTTGTTTTGTTACTAAACTAGATAATATCTTCAGTGCTAGAAAGGAGTGATTTTCAGCCATCAATAGGCACATAGGGATAAATGACATTTACATACTATTCAAAAGAGACAATCAAAAACCTAAAAAGGAAACAGAAAGACCAAAACACCTCCTTGCCAGCAATCAATACCCAGATAAGCAAGGATTAACACCAGCATTAATAGGAGACCAACAATCAAGCATTAAACAAGATCCCAATCAAGGAACTATCAACTCAGACAAACAATAAAACAGTAAACAACAGCCTAATAAAGGAACTACCAAGAAGAAAATGACTCATCAATATTGACAGGACAAGCGACTGTATATAAACAGAGAACAAATCCCACTCCTTTCTAGCACTGAAGATGTTACCTAGATGGGTAATGAAACCAGGGGTGGGATTCAACTGGTGTTACTACTGGTTCGGTCAGAGTGCATTTTGTAAAATAATTGCAAAAACATCAGCTCTCCCACCTGGATAGTTGACAAGCACTGCGCACGGATGTGCAATGTTTGAAAATCCTCTTCTTTCCTGCTTTTTCAACCTCAGCTGTGCCATGCAAAGCAGCTGAAGTTGAAAAAGCAGGAAATAAAGGACAGGTAAGAGCCCGGGTGGGCAGGCCGGCCAAAAAGACGACTCTCAGCAAACCGATTCAGTGTCTGCTGCTCTTCAGAGCTATCAGTTCTATAGAACCGGGCCAAAACGGTAGCATCCCACCCCTGAATGAAACATCTACAAGAACAACAACCAAGCTCAGAGGGCTCTAAGGACTTCACAGAATTCCATGTTATAGATATTCCCTGCACAGAGCTCCCAATTGTATACAGATTTGCAGTAAAGAACCTAAATAGAAAAATTCAGAACTGAGCTCCTGGAGAATATTCAGATTGATCTGCAATGTGTTCATTTCAATATAATAACTAAAGGACAATTTTGGATCTCAATAAGATGCAATTCACCTCTCTTCTAAGAGCAGAAAAGGAGTAGTTGCAGGTAGCAGCATCAACTACCAACCCAAGTGCTTCATTTTTCTTTCCCTTTACTTTTTTTTTTAGATAGGATTTTACAAATAGGATCAATATATTGCCCAGCAAATTCTTGTCTCAAAATATCCTATTTTTATCTGCTGCTATTAAAAAAGAAGGATGCACGTGCCAAGTTTACCTTCTCAGAAAGTTTCTATATTGGTCGTGCCTTGCTTGAGCTGTTCTTCTCATGATATTTTGGAAAACCTCTCTGTCTAATGCCCATGTTTTCACACTGGTGACAGCTAGAGGGGAAAAAATGAAAACAAAACAGAAAAGTAGACAATTCTACCGTACAATATAATACCCATGTACATTCAGAACACATTTTGTCAAATAGTGATGTTTACTATATAATGATGTTTACTAAAGTTCTTAGTGCCACTGAGAATATCTTCACAGTTTCTCTCCCAGGAGTTAACACTGAGGAGCTTCATACTTTATTACTCACACATATTTTTTTTGTTTACCTTGTTCAACACTTCTATCAATTTCCTTTGGTAGATGACCTACCAAATATTGTAGACAAATAAACATAGGTGCCCAAAGCATTTTAGAATAATGATTCAACTGTTATATGATATCTTACAAAGTTATCTATAAATCAAATAGTGTAAGAAGCTAATTTTGAACGTAGACATCCTCTAAGCCTCCATATATGCCGGGGGCGGGGGGAACCATTCTGACTTTGTACTCTGCCACATTATGTTAGAATGCATGAGGATCAGGGGTGGGATTCAAATTTTTTAACAACCAGTTCTGTGGGCACGGCTTAGTTGGTGGATATGGCTTGGTGGTCATGTGACTGGTTGGGCATGGCCAACTCAATATCACTCACATCGAGGCACGCATCTCCTCGCCTGGCCTCTCGTGACTGTGGGGATGCTGCAACAGTCGTAAGTGTGGAAAATGGTCATAAGTCACTTTTTTCAGTGCCACTGTAACTTTGAATGGTCACTCCACAGAAGCAAAGTACCAGCAAAGGAGGGTAAAAAAAACTCCAGAGAAGTTCCTGAGACAGGAAGTCTAGTCCTGGCAAGAATGTAATCAGGGTTAACGGAGAGGCAGTTTCTGTAAGCAACACCAGAATGTTTCCTTCCTGCCTTCCTTACAGGATTAGCCCAGTCATTTCTTCTAACAACCGGTTCTCCGAACTGCTTAGAATGTTAACCACCGGTTCTAGCGAATAGGTGCGAACTGGTATAGCAAATAGGTGTGAGGATGTTCAGATTAGAGGTTCTACCTTGCATAGAAAATGTGAGCATGGTTGAGGTAAAATTGGGCTATGCTTCTGGCACATTGATCAAATGTGCCTAACATAAACAGGCTTCAGTTATGAAACAACAGAATAACAGGGATGGGATGGACCTTGGAGGTCTTCTAGTCCTACCCCCTGCTCAGGCCGTAAACCATTTCTGACCCTAAACCATTTATAACAAATGGCTGTGCAATCACTTCTTAAAAGCCTCCAGCGTTGAAGCACCCACAACTTCTGGAGGCAAGTTATTCCAACAGATTAATTGTTCTCACTGTCAGGAAATTTCTCCTTAGTTGTAGGTTGCTTCTCTCCTTGATTAGTTTCTGTCCATTGCTTCTTGTCCCATAGGTTGATCCACTCTTCTTTGTGGCAGCCTCTCAAACATTGAAGCACTGCTCTCATGTCACCCCAAGTTCTTTTTTTCATCAAACTAGACATACCCAGTTCCAGCAACCGTCCTTTGTATGTTTTAGCCTCCAGTCTCAGGGGTGGGATGCAAATATTTTTACTACCGGTTCTGTGGGCGTGTCTAGGTGAGAGTGGCTAGGTGGGAGTGGCCATGTGACGGGGTGGGTGTGGCTTCTTCTTTTTTTGCGTTGCACCCCACCCCACCCCCGCGGTCCGTTTTTTGGCCTCCTGGGCCTCAGGGAAGCATCCTGGGGGGGGGGACGTTTTTGCGCCCAGGAAGACAAAAAACTGAGCAGCAGCACACACACCCCGCACACTCCTTTTGGGCCTCAGGGAAGCCTCCTGGATGAAGCAGTAAGACAGTGAGGGGGATCCCGGCATAGCTGATCGTCGGAACAGCTGATGGTCGGGAGGAGAAAAAAAAAGAAATACCAGTTTGGCCAAACCGTTTTTGTTTTTTACTACCGGTTTGGCTGAAAAGTAGCATTTTTTACTACCAGTTTGCCTGAACCAGGCTGAATTGGTTCCTCTAGTTCCCTAATCATCTTTGTTGTTCTTTACAAAACAAAAATGTTTTGCTGAAATATGGGATTGAAAGTTTGTTGCTGAATGAAATAAGAGGAGTATAGTAAAGCCTGGATAAAAACAAACTAAAAGCTTAGCAAGTGGGTCAACAATTAGCGGGTGGGGGGGAGAAGAAGACAGTGTAATATCCCCTCAGTTGATAGACGACTTTATGTATAAATGTATAAGGGAAGTTTGTGATGACATTAGAAATGTACTGATCGGGACTTGAAAGTTTGTGTACTTTGGTACAAAGGTGATGCAATGCTGTTGTTAAACCTTTGTTTTTATCAGTAACATCTGGAGAATACAACTTTATATATAACTTCAAAATTTTCTGTGCGGATGTGACTGCTCAGAACCATTTTCAGGGAATTCGATTTAATAGAGAAACTGATCAGTTCTATTCCATATATTTCTTCATTCCATCTCTAATAAGAAAGTATTCATGATGTCCTCGAATTGTGCATTTCCCTACTATCATTAATTGGGGGAAAAATGGCAGGAGAAATAATAATATCATATATAGGTTTCATTCACAGATTTTTGAATTTAATTTCCTTAGAAAATCACAGCTGTCAGGGAAAATACCCTCACCGTGAAACTCTGGATTATATTCTTGTTTTTAGGAACAATCCTACTCACCTTTTACTGAGGCTGTCCTTGTGCAATTATACAAAACAGCCAGTTCTCCAAAGGCTGTCCATATAGGAATCGATGACAGAAATTTGTTATGTTGATAAACCTCCAATCTACCTTCTGTTGGAAAAGTGAAAAAAAAAAGTAAAAATCAAACTGATATAATGATGTGTTAAACTCTATTTTCCTTTTATTGTTTTTGCACCTCTTTCAAAACATTAATCTGTTTTTCATTTTTAACTTGATTTTTGTTAACAAGCTTGACTTAATAAATTTAGTAAGTGCCTATTTAATTATAAACGAATTGCAGTTTCAAATTGTCAGTAATTTAATTATGCAAATGCATGCTCAAATAAGCTTACTCCCTTGTTTCAGCAAGTGTGTGATTTTTTTTTAAAACAGCTTTTTAATTGTTGTTAAAGAAGGGGACTTATGTTACATTTGGTGTGCGATTTTTTTCTTAAACACTTGTGATCACTTAAAATTCAATGATAGAACAGAACTACAAAATCCCAAATTCAATTCTATATTCTATTCTGTATGGCATAAAGCCAGGTTATCTGTGAAACTGCCTTTCCCTAAGGACATCTACCTGCTTACCAAGTCATATAGGGTGAGCATGCTCTTCCTCTAAATGCAGGTAGTCCTTGACTTATGACCACAGTTGAGCCCAACATTTCTGTTGTGAGACATTTGTTAAGTGAATTTTGCCCCATTTTACAACTTTCTTGCCACAGTTGTTAAGTGAAACACTGTGATTGTTACATTAGTAACATGGTTGTTAAGTGAATATGGATTCCCGATTGACTTTGCTTGTCAGAAGGTCGTAAAAGGGGATCACATGACCCCGGGACACTGAAATTGTCATAAATATGAGTTGCCAAGTCACTTTTTTCAGTGTCGTATGTATGTATATGTGTGTGTGTGTGTGTGTGTGTGTGTGTGTACACACACACACACACATAACTGTGCTTTGCTACGAAACTATGTGATCGGGTAGTTTTTGGGGAAGAAAATAAAGGGAAAAAAATCTGCCTCTGCCTACCAGTATCCATTGATATTCATCCGGCTAGCATCCTGTCAGTGTGTGAGAGAGTTGAGGACTGTTTCGAAACTGAAACAGTATTTGCTGTGTGAGGAAGAAGGAGACAGCAAGGAGCCTGGGTGCAGCTTAGCTCAACTGTTATAAACTAAAGCTGCTTGCTGCTGTGAAACTAAAACTGAAACTCCTCTCCTCTGCTTGTGTTTTGCATTTGGAACAAATTTCTTTTCAGGTGGGGAGGGGGAGTAGAACTCCTTAGCATCAGAGTGTGTTAATAATAATATACGAAATACTAATGCTTTGATGGTCATTTTGAAAAAATCCTTTCTTAGTGAGCACTTAGAAGCCAAGAGGAACATACATGTCAAATTCATTTCCTCATGTTTATTGCGGTTGAAGACTGGATCTCATTGCTGCTAACAATCCTTCTTTCTCTAGACTAAACTTAATTTCTTGCTTCAACCAAAGGCGAAATATCACGTGTACGAGACCTCTAAATGTGGCAGCCCATTTTCTTCCTTGTGAGTAATTGCTTCCTTCAGGATGACAAAAAATAAAAAAAGACCGTTTCACAGCATGCTGTTCACAAAATACCGATTTTGCTAAAGAAGAAAAACTATTGTTCTGGCCGTAAAAGACGTCAATGGAAATTGGAGATGAATATTTGGGCAGGAGGAAAGGATAGATTTGCCCTTAATCCTATTTCTTTCCTAGTATTGATTTTAACGCTTAATTAGAACTAATTCAATTCTATTATTGATGTCTTCAGAACTGTGGCAGTGTAGTTTGTCAGGATCAAAGCAAGAGATAGAATTAGTCATAGTTATATAAGGACACATCTATCTTGACTCATATTCTGTATATGAAAAGTGTTTGTATATGTTTGGGTTTAACATCAGGAAGAGAAGGGTGAAGTTTAGAAAGAAACTGTGATGTCTCCCCATTGGCTCAAATTCTAGGCATTCTTCTTCCAGATGAATTTATTTCTTGAGTTAGTGGTAGAAAGCAAACTCTCAGTTATGCACTTACACTGACCCCACTTGGAATCCTAAAGTGCTTTAAAAAAGCCAGTCCTGAGAAATTGCTCAGAGCATTTACACAAAATGCAATTGATTTTTTTAAAGCAACAATCTGTCTGTCTGTCTATCTATCCATATCTATCTATATTCATCCATATCTATCTATATTCATCCATGTCTGTCTATCTATCTATCTATCTATCTATCTATCTATCTATCTATCATCTATCTATCATCTCTGTGTGTCTGTCTGTCTATCATCATCTCTGTAACTATCATCTCTGTCTCTCTATCTATTTGTCTATCTATCATCATCTCTCTGTCTATCTGTCTATCTATCTATCATCATCATTATCTCTGTCTATCTATCTATGATCATCTCTATCTGTCTGTCTGCCTGTCTGTCTGTCTGTCTGTCTATCTATCTATCTATCTATCTATCTATCTATCTATCTATCTATCT